GTACTTCATTGATTTGCCTCCTGAGCTTTGTCAGTTGAAAATAATAGGCTTCTCCAAAGATATTGGGAGTTCACTTTCTTTGTTACCATCAATTATGCACCGCCTGGAGAACTTGCTTGTGGCAATTGAACTGAAGCATGTTTTTTCTGCTTCATTCCCAGAGGGAGCTGAAGTTACAGCCAATAGGGTAAGGCCCTCTTTGCATGAAATGTCAAGATATGCATGAATCTTATCTACTGCTAACAGTTTGAAGTGATGTTAGGTCCTAGAAGCACTCACTACAGAGAAGTGCCAAGAGCGTTTTTCTCTTGAAAGGCTTGAATCACTTGGTGATGCTTTCCTCAAGTTTGCTGTAGGCCGCCATCTTTTTCTTTTACATGATATTCTTGATGAAGGGGGACTGACTAGGAGAAGGTCTAATGCTGTAAATAATTCTAATTTGTTCAAGCTAGCAACAAGGAGAAATTTACAGGTTTGATTGTCTTAGAATGTATCTTCATTATGCAAAAGTTGTTAATCTTATTCTGGTTAGCATAATAGTTCTATTTTGGATGAATTGTAGTAGTTGTTCAACATACTTTTTCAAACATAAAACATTTTTGGGATTGTGATCTGTGATTGTTCACTGCTAACAAATGTGAACCGGTTACGTTAAATGCTGAAGTGCATGGTCATGTCACTTGTCCAATATCGGTAAATGATCTTTAGACCTATGGACATAAAAAATTATAGAAAAAATGTGGTATTTACAGAAATGATTAAACTCAAACACAATGTGTTTGGCTAGATCCCTTGTCTGCCTGCCTTGCTCCCTTCTCCCTCCCTGCTGGTTCAGGCTAGATGTTTCGCCCATTTTGGAATTGTTTACATCTTTTGTTTGAGAAGTTTTGGGCATAGTCAAATGCCTCATGTTAATGCCATTTGGAAAGGATAATTCCACTAAGAAGATTTAATTTGTTTGATGTATATTTGGTGTTTTAAGATAATCAATAAATCTTTATGATGCAGTGTTTCCACTAATTTTCAGGTTTACATACGCGATCAACCGTTTGATCCTTGCCAATTCTATGCTTTGGGCCATCCCTGCCAAATAATTTGTACCAAAGAAACTGAAGGAACTACTCATTCACAATATAATTATCAAGTAGATCATGCAAATAGTGAAGTCAGATGCAGTAGAAATCACCACTGGCTACATAAGAAAACAATTGCTGATGTGGTTGAGGCTCTTGTAGGAGCATTTATAGTTGATAGAGGCTTCAAAGCTGCAACTGCATTTCTTAGATGGATTGGCATACGAGTGGACTTCCAACACTCTCAAGTTAATAATGTTTGGGTTGCAAGCAAGAGGTTCATGCCACTCTGCTCTAAAGTGGATACTGGAGCTCTTGAAAATTTGTTGGGATATCAGTTTCTTCACAAGGGTCTACTCCTTCAGGCATTTGTGCATCCTTCTCACAATAAGCATGGGGGAGGCTGCTACCAGGTATACACCATTTCTTCTTTCCTACTTAAAAGAATTAGACTGGTTTGTTCTTTATTTCTCATATCTTTCACCTGACTCGTCAGTTTTATTAGCTTTATGTTTTCTGATGCTACAAGTAGTAATACTTTAATCATTTTCTCAGAGATTGGAGTTTCTTGGAGATGCTGTCTTGGATTATTTGATCACATCATATCTGTTTTCAGTCTATCCAAAGTTGAAGCCTGGTCAGTTGACTGATTTGAGATCAGTGTCAGTGAACAACAAGTCCTTTGCCAATGTTGCAGTAGATAGATCCTTACACAAATTTCTTATCAGAGATTCTTGTCCCCTCTCTGAGGCCATAGAAAAATATGTTGACTTCATTACATCATCACCAGAAAGGGGATTGTTTGAAGGGCCAAAATGTCCAAAGGTAGAAATTATTAACTATTATGGTTTGCGCTCATGCACACATTTCTTCCGCTTTATAACATGCAAGATTCTATTTTAAACACCCTTGAAATAATGAATTTTACAAATGCTAAGCTTCACCCCTTGCATATAAAAGTCAAACGGTGTAATGTCCTGATTCATTTTTCAAGATCATATGCTTCCCTTTGAAACTAGTTTATTTTTATGCCTTTTGTCTCATTTGTGGAACAAGATATATGGATGGTGGATTTTGATTTCTTTTTTTAAATTTAATTTATGAGCGTTCGGTGGAATTCTAGATTTTGATTAAAGCAAATCATCTTCACTGATTTATTTCATCATGCCTATTGTCTCATTTGTGGAAGAAGATTTTGATTTTTTTTAATTCAATATTCTGATTAAAGCAAATCTTTAAAATAAATGGACAATGCTACTAAATCATACACTTTAAGAAAGCTATTTAATTTAATAGCTTTAATGTATTGATGCAGGTTCTTGGTGACTTGGTCGAGTCTTCGTTTGGTGCTATTCTCCTTGATACAGGGTTCAACTTGAACCTTGTTTGGAAGATAATGCTATCCATTTTGGATCCAATCAAGAGCCTTTCAACGGTGCAGCTTAATCCTATTAGGGAATTACAGGAACTTTGCCAGTCTCGCAACTGGGATCTGAGGTTTCTAGCATCTAAAAGTGGCAGAAATTTTTCAGTTGATGCAAAAGTAAATGCAGGAGATGTTCCTCTAGCTGTTTCTGCAATCAACCCCAACAGAAAAGATGCTATCAGAACTGCTGCGCAACAAATATATGCGAAGTTAAAGGTAAAAAGAGTCCTGCATGCTTTTCTATTCCCTGTTTCTTGACACCAATATATAATTCTTTTGGATGTTTACTTGTTTTTAATTCCTTTTAGAAGTAAATATTGTTTGTAGCCCAATCTTCAAAATTAGTGGAGGTACACTCCAAACTTGCAAAGTTTCCTTTATCTTGTTGACAAAATGACCTGCAGCTTAATCCTGGTAGCCCCTTGTCTTTGATGTGCAGGCTCTAGGTTATGCACCCAAGTCAAAGTCCTTGGAGGAAGTTTTGAAAAAAAGCCGCAAGATGGAAGCCAAGCTGATTGGATTTGATGAAACACCTGTTGATGTTGCTGATCCTGACACTAATGGATTAGAAAACATGAAATTGCAACAATCTGTTGAGAATGATTTCAACCCCAGAATCCATTTTATCAATAAGGCAATTAATCTCTGTCAACCCTGCAACTCTCCTGTTAACGGCCCTATGCCGTCTTTTGAAGTCAAAGAAGGATACACGCCATCACCTATTGAAGTCAAAGGAGCACTCCCCTGTTCCTCCAATGTTGATCCTGATTGTGGGATTGACACGCCATCCAGAGGTCTGTGATAGTTAATACTATTTGTGAGTTAGGGTGGAGCAGTTCTCTTATTTGTCTCTTCATTTCTCAGGTGAATCACTTCAAAAAACTGCTAGAACACGATTACATGAAATCTGCGCTATCAATTGTTGGAAACCCCCTTTGTTTGAATGTTGTGAAGAGGAAGGACCTAGCCATTTGAGATTGTAAGTGCATGACCTATATAAAAAATTTGATCCTTAGAACTCAAAGGTCTCATTTAGGATAGAATGAAAACTGGGAAACCTTCATATTATTTCTCAAATTCTACTTGAAAACTTTTGCAGATTCACTTTCAAGGTGATGCTTGTAATAGAAGAAGGCCCAGATATGATCCTGGAGTGCTTTGGCAGTCCTAAGACCAAAAAGAAAGCTGCAGCAGAGCATGCAGCCGAAGGTGCACTCTGGTACTTGAAGCATGAAGGTTACTTGCATTAGATCAACTTGACAGGCTTTTACCTCACTGCTCCACATTTTGCAGTTCTTTACATGGACAACAATTTTTGGGTCTTTGTATCATCTTAATTTAATTTTAATGAATTTAATCTCAGCAATTTCATTAAAATTGATTTAAAGATGATTGATAATAGTGTTAAAATTTTGCCCTTTTAAGTTGGATGACGTGACATGTTAAATGGATTAGTTTTTTGATCATGTGACATGTATCAGTCTAAACAAATTTGATTATATTTAAGTTAAATAATAATTAAAACATGTATATAAAATAATTTTTAGTATTTTTTAATGAATATTAAAGTTACTTTTTTTGCTAACTAGTGTCACATGATTAAAAGAAATCCGGTTGACATGTCTTGTCATTAACAAAATAGTTGTGTGATTGAATTTAATTATAAAGTTTTAATATTGTTTTTAATTATCTTTGAAATCGACTTTTAATACAATTTTAAAGATTAAATTTATTAAAATCTAGATTGAAGGACTAAAATGTTCAAATTAAAATGCTACTCTATTCCGGTGGCTGCTCAAATGTACATTATCCTAATTTAGTTAATGATGTGGGGTAAATTTAACCACAACCAAAGTGTTCCATTTACTAACATGACCAAGAATAAATAACTTGCAATTCTAGTTAATAATATCTTATTAATTTTATTAGGAAAATACGTGTTTGTTTTTATTTTTATTTTCATGATCGAAATTTACATTGAAAGTAATTTTTAATTAGTAAAAATTTAATTATTTATTTATAGTTGGATATAAATTAAGAAAATGCATTATTTGAAATAATATGTTATAAAGTGTGACTTTTCAAGTTATGGATATTTTCTGTTAATGATCGGAATATATGTTACATTTTAAATCATTTTAATTAATAAAAAATAATTTATTTATTTATTTATAATTCAATGAATACCTGTTAATTAAATAAGCGAATTTTAAAAAATTTCATCATCCATAACATAATTTTTAAAATCTTAAAGAGAAAACTATAAATTTTAATCTAAGTAATCTCTCAACACGTGTCATTTGCATAGTCATTAAGGCTATTTACAGGCTGGGTAATGGGAATGCCGGGATGTCTTTGTTATCTTGGGCCTTATCTAGTTGGGCCTCGTAGCGTGGTACAAGAAGCCCATTACTCACTTAATCCGATCGGCTTTGCTGAACATGTGAGAGCATTTGCCCGCCAAAACTCCATCACCTTCCCGCCAAAAAAGATCCCGCTGGATATTAACATAGAGGAAAAAAATCGCCTCAGAAAGAACGATTTTGCTTCTTCATTTCCTAGAGAGAGGGCAAAAATAATCGCAGAAAAAGAAAATGTCAGGATGGGACGAAGGAGCGGTGTACTACAGCAACCAGGCGCAGTTCACGGAGGCCTCCTCGGAAGCGGAAGCCGCCGCCGCATCTTCCACCTCGAGCCGCCACTCCGTCCTCCTTAAATTCAAGGAGTTCATCAGAAACTTCGAGAAGGAGAAGAACGTGTTCCCGTACAGAGAAAGCCTCGTCAATAACCCTAAATTCCTAGTGGTCCATCTGGAAGACCTTCTCTCCTTCGATTCCGATCTCCCTTCCCTCCTCCGCTCCTCTCCCTCAGATTACCTACCTCTGGTGAAAAAACACTTACAAATTTTATCATCAATATTATCAAAATAGATCGAATGAGCTTAATATTTTTGGTTTTTAACAATTGGTGCAGTTTGAGACGGCGGCTGCGGAGGTTTTAGCGGGTTTGAAGATGAAAGTAGCAGGGGATTCAGGGGAAATGGTGGAGCCACAGACGGGCGAGGTTCAGATTTTGCTTACATCAAAGGAGGATCCAGTTTCTATGCGTTCACTTGGGGTAATTGTTTTGGAATTTGTTTGATCCATTAGTATGCAAGGAATGGTTATTTGCAGTTTTAACCGATTTTATTTTTTAGGCTCAATATATATCAAAATTAGTTAAGATATCGGGAATTACCATTGCTGCTTCAAGGGTTAAGGCAAAGGCAACTTACGTGCAATTAATTTGTAAGAACTGTAAAAGTCCAAGGACAGTTCCCTGCCGTCCAGGTCTTGGTGGGGCAATTGTTCCACGATCATGTGACCATGTTCCCCAGGTTTATTCTTTATTACAGTTGTTGCTTTTCGATATATTAGTATTTTCAAATCAAAGCTCTGATAGAAGTTATGAAATGTATGTAGCCTGGAGAAGAACCTTGCCCCATTGATCCCTGGCTTGTGGTTCCTGATAGGAGCAAGTATGTTGATCAACAAACCTTGAAACTGCAAGAGAACCCAGAGGTACAGACCTTGATTTTAGGAGAAATAGTAAATGAAACGAGCGATGAAGTTTTTTATTTTTTTTTATGATGAGTTCATGTTAAATCTGAAGGATGTACCTACTGGGGAGCTTCCTAGAAATATGTTGCTTTCAGTGGATAGGCATTTGGTTCAAACGATTGTGCCTGGTACGAGACTGACAATAATGGGGATATATAGTATCTTTCAAGCTGCCAATTCATTGACTAAGTAAGTTATTATGCCTGGAGTTGAATGTTTAATGTATCTTGATTCTCATCTTTGTCTTCTAATTTGATCTGATATTAATTTTATGCAGCCATAAAGGAGCAGTTGCAATTAGACAGCCTTATATCAGGGTAGTGGGAATGGAAGAGACAAATGAAGCCAGTTCCCGAGGGCCTGCCACTTTTACGCAAGAAGAGGTAAACATCACTGCATCTTTTCCCATGGCGTAATGCTCTGTGTATTTGTATCAACTGGATGCATGACAGTGCCATTCTCATGTTCCTTAGCCAGTTTATTTTTGAATTGAGTTGATTATTTTAAGTTGGATGTCTGGGAGATCTCTGCACTAGCACTTAAATAAAATTACAATGTATTCCCTTTTCTTAAATCATGGTTATTATGTCATTGATTATGTGCAGGTAGAAGAATTCAAAAAATTTGCCTCAAATCAAGATATGTATGAAGTCATATGCTCCAAGATTGCTCCCTCCATATTTGGGCATGATGATGTCAAGAAGGCTGTTGCTTGTCTTCTCTTTGGAGGAGCCAGGAAGGTAAGTTTCCATATCCTTAACCTCTATCCTGTGATATTCCTACAATCTACAGTCATCATAACTGGCTTTCACGAATGTGTAGAATTTGCCAGATGGGGTGAAGTTGAGAGGTGATATCAATGTGTTGCTTCTGGGTGATCCATCTACTGCCAAGTCCCAGGTTAGTTACATGTTTCTTGATTGGTTGAGGTTGCTGAAATCAAGTGTTGTTTGCTTTGCTGTCTCCTTTAGCCCTGTCTCTGTTGTTCTCCCAATTAGTTTTAGGGTCTCTGGGATTCTTTAAATTAAGCTATTTCATGCTATAATTTCTATTGCTTGCCACACAAGTTGATGCTAATTCTATCGTTACCTTGTAAAGTTTCTCAAGTTTGTCGAGAAGACGGCTCCTATAGCTGTTTATACTTCTGGAAAAGGCTCATCAGCTGCTGGTCTTACAGCTTCAGTTATTCGAGACAGCAGCTCTGTGAGTTCTTGATATGCTTTGGCTTCTGTGCTGATAATTTTGTTTGACTGGTTGCTTTTCTTTTTGAGAAAAGTTTCCTTCTGAATTTTTATTTCCCTCTACCCTTCCTTATGAAAACGTTTCTCACATTGATTCAATTATTTATGCAATTCCAGCGAGAGTTTTATCTTGAAGGAGGAGCCATGGTTTTGGCAGATGGAGGTGTAGTGTGCATTGATGAGTTTGATAAGATGAGACCAGAGGATAGGTAAGTTAAATGAATGTTAAAACTTGGTATGCCTTACCATGTATGATGCTTATGGAGTTTTACTGATTTTATATTGCATAGGGTTGCTATTCATGAAGCTATGGAGCAACAGACAATATCTATAGCCAAAGCAGGAATAACAACTGTTCTCAATTCCAGAACTTCAGTGCTTGCAGCTGCTAACCCTCCTTCAGGGCGTTATGATGATCTTAAGGTCTGCAGCTATACTTCCTGTTCCATATTTTATCAATTTCTCCAATTTATGCTTGCTATTCATGTGAAGCAACTGAAAGAAGTATAATCACCTTGCAGACGGCACAGGATAATATTGATTTGCAGACTACAATTCTTTCAAGATTTGACTTAATCTTCATCGTCAAAGATATCAGGATGTATGAACAAGACAAGGTAGTCTATGGTTATTTTGCTCACCTTAGATTTTCCCCAACTACCACCAACTTTTTAATTGGCATTATTCAGTTAACTAAGAATTGGTCAGCCTATTTCTAGATCATTAAACAGTAATTCTTCTGTTTTAATGCTATAACAACAAAACAAAAGCACTTGTTTACTGTTTTAACATGACTTCCTAATGCCCCTACCAAGGGCTTTGAACTTCCATTCTCCTTTTCTTACAGATTATAGCAAGTCATATCATAAAAGTTCATGCATCTGCTGAGACAGCTTCCAGTGATAGTAGAGCTTCTAAAGAAGAGAATTGGCTGAAAAGGTATTTTTAAAGTGAATTCACTTTTTATTTTTGGTAATTAAAGCTGACCATATCCAACATTGATGCTACCTTGTATGTGCTGCTAAACTGAGTCACAAATTTTATAGGTATATACAATATTGTCGTGCAGAATGCCATCCCCGCCTGTCAGAAGCTGCATGTGCTAAACTTCAGAGTGATTATGTTGATATCAGAAGGGTACTCTCAAACTTAAACCATAAATGAGAATATTCTTCATGAGTTTGAGCCCAAATTAAACTAGCAAAAGGAGCCCTTGCTGCCCATTACCACCAGAAGTTGTTAAAAATAGATTTAAATCTATCTAAAGATTATTTTCATGTGCTAATTAACATTAGCCATCAACATGGGTAATTCTTGTAGGCAATGAGGCAGCAATCGAATGAGACCGGAGAGGCTGCTGCAATCCCCATTACTGTGAGGCAGCTGGAAGCCATCATAAGGTTAAGTGAGGCTCTTGCAAAGATGAAATTGTAAGTATTGGTGCTAGCAAATCAAGTTGAGTTATGATTGTTTAAAACTAAAAATCCAACTGGAAGTTAACTCATTCTGTGAGTTTGTGACGTTATAAGTAGATTAATATCTAGTGGCCTTTTTTGATATAAATAGATTAAATGTTGCCTTTTTTATTGGTTAACTGGAAATGTATTTCAGGTCACATGTTGCCACTGAAGGTGATGTAGCTGAAGCATTAAGACTGTTCAAAGTTTCCACAATGGATGCAGCACGTTCTGGAATTAACCAACAAATAAATATCACTCCTGATATGGCCAATGACATAAAGGTTTGTAGACATTAGTACCATTCCTTCTACATTATTGCAGAGTTTTTTCTTATAGTGTTGTGCCCTTTCTCAATTTGTTAACAAAATTTAACATGAACAGCAAGCAGAAAACCAGATAAAGAGAAGATTGGGGATTGGCAATCGCATATCAGAAAGAAGGCTGATCGATGATCTTACTAGAATGGGGATGAATGAATCAATGGTAAGTAGTTTACTTAAATGCTGAGTCATTGACCTTTTCTTTACTATGCCAGATGTTCTGACTATTAGCCATGCTTAATCTTGACTTCAATAGCATGCTTTAGGAGTACCCCAAATTTTGGGTGGGATATTTTTTCGTCTGTCAGTACACACAGATGGAAATATTACTTAAGAATATGATAATTTCTTTGGTTAAATCGGCCTTGTTGTGTATTTGTTCAATATCCCATCAATTGATACAGCTGAGTTTCTTCAGAGTTTTGTATTTTATAAGTATTGTTATTTTCGGCAGGTAAGAAGAGCCATCTTAATTATGCATCAGAGAGGTGAAGTCGAATATCAACGAGAGAGGCATATTATTGTTCGAAAAGTATAACCTGCTGTTCCTGAGCCTGAGTTGAGCCAGGGCTTTGTTTCTACCACAAGCTCCAATTGTAATCCTGGTTACATGAAGTAACCAGTTTCTCAATCTGGAATGGTCATACTAACAAAAAGCTATCTTATACCGCAACTGAGGTTTGGCTTCCAATCCTTGCCCAACGGTAGCCTTTCTAATGGAGGGTCTTAATGTGTTATTTCAAGCTTTACATTTAATGTATTCTAAGGATGGTATCAAGTATTCTTGGCATATCTGACTGTATGTTAAGCATGTAAATTATCTGAAGACTTGACTGGAGAAACTACTTTGGTATTTTCAAGTGTTTGATTTTTTTTTTTTTCTTTGCAAGAGTACAAGGTGCAACACCTACGTAAGGAGACTCTTAAATGTGGAAGCCCAACCCAAGTCACTCGACAATTAGCCTTATAGTGACATTAAAACCTTACAATTCCAATCCAACTCTCTATTGGTGCCACCTTTTAAGTGATTAAAAGCCTTTGCTTGTTTGCCAAACCACTCCACTTCGTATGCAAATTTTATACAGAAATTGAAGTTGTTAATTCCGTCAATAATATTGAAATCCCAAGGATTTACATTATATTCCGTCAAAATAAACTAGATATAAATTAGAAAACAAGAATTTGTTTGAGTACGAGAAAAGATTACACAAATAATTGAAGAATTGATCATATATTAAATTTTGTTTTTTTTTTCTATTTAAACCAAAAATCTTGAGTTAATCACAAGAAAACCTGTTAAGAAATTGTGCAATTACAAATTTGCAATCAATTTCTAGGCCTCAATATGTAGAAAAGAGATTGTGGAAAAAGTTTTTCCATTTCGAAGTCAAATTAACCTTCAGGACTAGAATCTAAATTATGCTATGCTTTAAACTTAATAACATTAATAATTACGTATTTTAACGTTTCTAAGTATTTATTTATTTATTTATTTAGTTAACTAATGTGAACATGAGCCTCAAGCCTCTCCCTCGCACTCCTAAATTTGTTCTTCCATTTCTTATCTCCATTCTAGAACGTTGAACGCGAACCTCCATTATCAAATTCAAAGACCGTAAAAGGAGAGGCCTATTCTCCTCTGAAAAGCCTCATATTACAATCATTATCCTTTTAAAGTTTACACCTTGGGCAAATTCTGGTAACCCCACAGCGTCCAATGCTTCTCTTTGATTCAATATCTCCCTTGACCCACTCAGGAAAACTCACTTCCCCAGTGCTTCTCTCTTCTCTCTCCCAACGTCCCCTCAGGTTCCTTTAACCTCTTTCACGTTTTTCTTTCAATCCATACTTACAGTTTAAGTTCAAACTTCAATGTTGTTTATGGATGCAGATGTGCAGTTCTTGGTGCTGGTTTTGCTGGCCTCTCTGTTGCTTGGCATTTGCTCAAGGTAGACTGTTTTTTCTTCGAAATTGAAAATCATTGTCACCATAATTAGTGGGTTTTCTTCAAGTTTTCTGATTGTTATGGAATTGCTTTTGCAGCAAAGTCCTCTGGATATGCATCTGCACATTGATTTGTATGATGAAGTGGGCATTGGAGGAGGTGCTTCAGGAGTCTCTGGAGGACTCCTTCATCCCTATTCTCCTAAAGGTTTTCCTTCAACTCCTTTCAATGTATGCGAATCCTTTATGCTAAAAAAAAGACACTTTTTTTCCTTCAAATTGGCCTTTTTTGGTTCTGTCCCTGTTAAGCTTATCAGTGAATATGCCGGCAGTTAAGCTTCTATGGAAAGGTGCCCAGTGTTGGAAAGAATGTCTAAAGCTCTTAAGCATTGCAGAACAAGCCGTTAGTTCGGAGGAATTAGATTCTGAAACTGGACAATTTGGTCATGATTTTGGTGGTTTTGTAGTCCGGAGAAGGTTTGTTTTTGTTCTCTGTTTAAATATGTTTCCTTTCGCTCATTGCACATGCAAATGTCTCATTTTCACCGTCCTTTTTTAATATCTTTACCTTGTCAAAGGCATTTCATCTTCATCAATAGCCTAAGCGCGTCACTGCTGGCGCAGTCTGAATTTAATTTTATATATTTGTGTATGCTTCTGATGGAATCTGTGTTCATAGGGGCATTTTGAGACCAGCCACAAACATGAAGACTTTGAATGCGTTAAATGATGTAATTTCTTCAATACTTTTAATTGCAGCCCTAATTGCTTAATATATGACATCAATTTTCAAGTTTAATGTTGCCCCCTTTTTGCTTGATGTAATCAGAATGCTCAGAGCTGCCTTGCCAGTTGCAAGATAGAGATCATTGATAAGGATGCTGCCCAAAAGCTTGTGCCCCATCTACATGTGCCTTTCAACTTGGCTTTTTATATGCCTGAAGCTGTAAATGTTAATTCTCAGCGTTATATCGAGGTCAGAGGAATTAGGCCAGATGTTGCTTCAATGGACATCTATGATCTATCTATTCCATTTTTGTAATCTCCTTTTTGGGTTATTCTACCAGGCACTCTTCCTAGCATGTCAAAATTTAGTGAAAGAATTATCTGCTTCTGGCTTTGGAGGGAAAAAGCTTTGTTTGCTGAAGAAATCTGTTTGTGAGCTCCGTGAATTAGAAGGTAACCTCCTATAACATTGTTATGAACTTTTTTCCCCAGTAGCTTGTGCTTATGTGAAATGGCGGTCAAAACATGTTGAAAACAAGTTCATCCTCTGAGTGGACTTTCTTTTATATTTAAAAAATTCTGCACTTGGCCAAAAATATGTGGGAGGGAGATTGGGAAGAAAAAGCTGCGGAAGCTTTTTGTAGGCTTGACAGGAGAGTGATTATATGTTGATTTGTGGAATGGTTATGTTTCTTTCTTAATTAATTAATTTATGCTTCTGTTTGTCTATTAGGGGAATATGATGCTGTGGTAATATGCCTAGGTGCCAAAGCAGACTTGCTTCCGGAGCTTGCTGGGAGGCTTCCTTTGAGGACATGTAGAGGTGTTATTTTGCACCTGCAACTGCCTGATAATATGGGGTAAAACTTCTCTCTTGCACTACAAAACTAGAAGACTGATCAGGCAATAATTCCAGATCTGAAATGGAGAATGAAGTCTTCACATAAAGCAATTTCTCTGAGTTTAGAAAGTTTGACAATAAATTAATTTAATTAAGTTCCAGATCTGAAATGTAGAATGAAGTCTTCACATAAAGCAATTTCTCTGAGTTTAGAAAGTTTGACAATAAATTAATTTAATTAAGTGCTATGTAGAGGACCTAAAAATGGCATAACAAATGATAACTCTAGTTTCCTTTTGCTTTCGTAAACCTCCCCAAGCCGGTCTAATCATATCCCATAGGAGAAAATTGAATACAACCAAATGTTTTCAAGTCATCTGGTCTCCAGATGGCCTATGCTTTTCTCTCTCTGTTTGGGTTCATTCACATAAATCTAGCATAATGTTCTTCAGGGAAGATTATCCAGACCATGGGCCCTCGATACTCTCAGATGCATGGCTTGCTGTCCAGGGGAACCATAGTTTGTATGTAGGTTCAACATGGGAATGGAAGTCAAGAAATTCCTCACCAAATGTCTCATCTGATGAAGCTTCGAATGCTCTTCAAGAGCTTCTACCAAAGGCATCTGCTGTTTATCCCGGGATAATGGGCTGGACTTTTGCTGGAGCAAGAGCGGGTTTGAGGGCAATGCCGCCTCTCACTCCTCATGGATCACTTCCCCTTTTAGGTTGTGCCAACAATCTTTTAAGTGAAAATCTTAAATGTAAATATTGGTTACTCGGAGGCCTTGGTTCAAGGGGTTTGTTTTATCATGGTTGGCTAGGTAAGTTGACGGCAGAGGCTGTGATCTCTTGTAATGAACAAATAATCCCTTCTGAACTAACCTCATGGAAGAATAAAAGATAATTGAACATAATTTTTTATAAAATTTTTGCATGGACTGCCGTTTCAAACATTAGTTGATCATCAAAAATGAACCACCATGGCATTTGAAGATCTGACATAATTTGATCAAACTCAAATGTCAAAAGGGAGCAGCAGATGTATTACCAACTTACTACTGATGATGTAAGGTCAATTTTGCATAATTGACTTGTATATTTGCATCTTTCCGCATATAGCACCTTTCAAGGTTTTAGCTATTTTATTGCACTATGACAGTGTTATGAAACAACTTGTTTGATAATTATGGATTCCTCCCAAACTCCCCATTGAACAGGAGAACGGGAGGATGAAACAACTACTGCTTCCAAATATAGCATTGTGCCAATATTCTGACTCTGATCATTGTGATTTATGGCACATTTAATTACTTGTCTATGTGATATTGAATCCAAAATTGTTCAATTAGTCTGCTATTTCCTAATATTTCGGCACGGAATAATTATCACCCCCATTTCCCCATGGCAACATGAGAACAAACGTCTGAACAATCAGAATAATTCCACAGAATACAGTCCATACCCTGAAGTAGAGTACATTGATTCCCTGCTTTATAGAATTGTCATTACCTATAAGATACAAAATCATACATGTTAACACTAGCTAACAAGTGTAAGCACTCATTCCTCAGAAATCAGAATTTCTATCTTGGCGTCCATATATAAACTTGACCCCCACTCGTGGCTCCTGCTAGCATCCCAACTTCAGAAGGGTGCGAATGAAATCTGCAGGGAATTGCAGACATGTGCGGACTCTGTAAAGTCATAACTACTCTTCTTTGAGCTGGAGAGATGACATCAACACCTCTTTTCATGTTGCCAATGAAGATGTATGAATCATCCCACCCCCATATTGCTCTGCTTACAAAAAAATATAAGATGACAATGTTATTATCGACCATCAGAATTGTCAGATTCAACAGAGAACATCAAGCAGATTATTTCAGAAGAAAATATATATTAGCACATGACACACTTGCAAAAGCCTACCTGAAAGAAGAAAGCCACCTTCCTGTATGATTATTATGGTATATCATGGAAATGTCCTCAAAATTGAGTCCACTTATTATACCAACCTTGTCATCCAAACTACATGAAAAGAAAAAATATTAGTCTAACAAAGTCCAGGATCATATTAAATACTACTTGCCTTAAGGTAATTGTAGAAAATACTATGCAACCAGAACAAGTTCTCCAGTTATCCAGATAAAATCACCAATTTTAAGCAATGAATTCCATTTACATGTATAAGCCAAAAGTATGACATCAATTCATAAATAAGTAAACATTTCAGAACAACCTACAACAAAAGACATGCCCAAAGGAATGGAAGCTATGTCTCAACACGGAGGGGCATCCATTCAAGTTATCTTTATTTGACGTATAATAAGTTTCTCCTGCAAAGCAGGGTGCTTAATCAGTGTAGAAGATAAATTCTACAAGTAAATTTGAAACAAAAAGTATCAGTTAACAAATAAAGACTCACTATTGGCAAAGTGCTAATACTGAATACTCAAAAGTAGAACGAAATTTAAGCATCAATATATTTATCCTGAAAATCACCAAAAGGGGTTTAGGTTCCGACAAAACTCAATACCTAGTTGTTGCGAGAGAGCTTCCAGAGGGTGAGAAATAAGCAGAATGAACAGCCCTACTATGGCTCACAGTCTTCAAGGTTTTGGCTTTATGTGCACTCATACTCCTTAAATCCCATATGCAAGCGGTTCCATCGGTGGAACTGGTTGCCATAATGTTGGGGTTCTGTGAGTTGAAGTCTATGGTGTTGATCCTGTCTTCATGCAACATCCAATTTTTGCTGGACTTCCCTGTCCGAATATCCCAGATGTTCAGCCCTCCCCGGGCCTCACCAAAATACAAGCTTGTAAAATTATCAGGCTGTTGAGAGAGTGAAAATATATCATCGCAGTAATGCACAAGATCAAATACTTCCTTCTCAGCATCCATCATTCGAAGAAAACCATCATAGCAGCTGGTAAAGATCTGCACTTAAATGCAATAGAGAAAACATTATATTTAACAAATTGTTAACACTGAAGTAATAACTCTGCATCTTCAAAATTCATGAAAGTGAACCCTCTGAAACCAAAAGTACCTTTGACATTGAATATTGCGGAATCAAAATCCCAGAAATAGGACCTGTATGCGGGCGATACAGATATATCCCATCTTCGTTTTCATCCTCGCAATCCACATTCCAAAATGCAACATTCCCAAACTTGTTCCCCGCTGCAATCATCCTCATACTGCTGCAAGGGAAAAACTTAACCACCATAATCCTTCCAGGCAAAAGCCGTGCTACATTCTCTGGTTTCAAATCCAATGATTCCAGCCAGGGATCACTCTTCTCAATATTAACTGAACCATCAAAATACTCATTTTTAACCATACCCTTAACCAAACCACAAGAAACCGACTCGCTTTTTCCACCTTCAAACTCTTCTTTAACTTTCTCCACCTTCACTGGGCATTCCGAAACCTCAGTTTTGCAGGAACCCGATTTTCCTTTTTCATCAATATCACTCAAAATCTCCTCTTGAACATCCTTAACATCATCAAACTCTTCCAAAACTGAAACACCAACTTGGGTTTTCTTTGAAATACTCAAAATTGTCTCAATCAGCATTTTATTAGACTCCATTTCATCTCCACTAAAAGCATCACTCATACTGATAGGACCCAAAACACGAGGCGAATGCGGCTTTAACGGGCTAAAAGATTTTGGGTTTTTATCAAAATTGTCACAAAAATCATCAGCCAAACCCTTTGAATCTGGCGGCATACCTCTTGTTCTCAACGATCGTCGGATTACAATAGGGATCTCAGCCTTGGGTTTCTTCACTGGACTCACTTTATAAGTTTTAGCCCTGCAAACATATTTTTTTAAAAAATAAAAATAAAATGTTGCATCAAACCATAGTAACAAAGATAGATGAAAATGCAGATGGATTTACCTTTGGCGTTTGGCAGTGGCAGAGAGAGTGGCAGCTTTGGAGTGGATTTTGAGGGCGGCCATCATTTCATCGTTTCTCTTTATGTTTTCGAGTCTTTTACGTTCATACTCTGTTAGATTCTGAGGCGCCATGGGAGACAAAGATTTGATAACAGAAATGAGAAACGAAGAGACGAAAACCAGAGGGTTTTTTCCTTTGTTTGGTAATTCTTATTGGCTAATTCTATTCCGTGGTTTTTCATTTATATAGCTGCTTAGGCATAAGATTATTGGCTGGTTTTGGGCGGGAAATAATCTTGACGGCAAAAGAATATTGTACTACTTACGTGGCAAGTCACCAGCCGTTTAATCTTCCGGGCTTTCTAAAGTAGGGGAAATGGACTTCGGATCATCTGGAATGTGGGGAAATTGGCCCACGTTTTGGAACATAAATGGGCCATAAGCCTAAGAACTAGAAGACAGGGCTTTACCCTTAAGATTGGTCTTCAGGGCTTTGTGCTTGGACAGCTGACTATTTGGGCGCTGCCGTAGACTCAAGTGTAGATTTTAGGACTCCAGCCATTAAACGTCTTCTTTGGTACTCACAATCAAGCAAAGGCTATGACTTTTATGAAATTACATCGTGTTACAGTACTTTTTCTTTGACAATATTATGATTTATAATCAATTTCATAAAATTTTCACTTATCAATTACAATCCCAGAACATACCTCATATTACTGCTTATTAAATCTAATAGGAATAGTGATTTATACTATACTACTAATATAAAGAGAGAGTAATCAAAGAGATAAAATTTAGAAAAACATAACTTATATTTCAAGAGGTGATATTTTACAAAGATTAATGATGATACTTTGATGGGCGAGGGGTGAATTTATGTTTGATAGTCAACTATAATAGAAGAGCTTGTATGGGAAGAAAGAAAGTGACATATACATAAGATAAAAATATAATAACTATACTTGGGTGTAACAATTTCTTTAATCTTTTCTGTCATTCCATTCTAATAGGGTTGTCAAAATCAATAACAACTAATCCCACGATTTTTTGTCCCTCTCCAAAGAAAAAAAAAATCAGGGCAACAACAAAGCAGGGAGGAGAGAAATATTAAAATCGTTTAGTCTCTCAGCTTTCCCTGTGCTCCATCCTTGAATTTGTTCCACCCCTTGAATTATACCGTGTAGTGCTGCTGGATGGTATCAATGTCGAGCCCCTTCAACTTGACCACTGACTCAACGTGACCCTTGAGAGTGTGGAGCTCCCTCAGCCTGCCAAAATGATGTTTTCAGTTAAGTTGTGATTTGTGAGTCATGTATAGTTAGAAACGTATAATAAAAAGCAATGTTCCTTATAATGGTGGCTGGCTGGCTCAGGGCCCTTTGGACTTTACCTTGCAACCTCAGCACGCTTCTTGGCCTGCTCAGCTATTTCTGACAACTCGTGGTAGCTCTTATCGCTCAAAATGGCTTCTGGGGGTGAAAGGCCGTGAAGGGTACGTTGAGCTGCTGCCCATTGTGCCTCCCTCTCTCCCTTTCCGTAGTCCTTCTTTGTCGTGAATGCGGTCTAAATTGATAATCGGAAAGAACAAAATGAAATTAAGCTCAGATGTATACAGAGGACGCACAAATATGTCTAACAAGAATATTTTTGACCTTGTTCTGAAGCAGGTTATCCCAGGCTTTGCCACTCAAGGAGTAGCGGATGATGAACTTGAGGATATCAAGAGGGATGTAGGTAATCAAGCTGAAGAGCCAGATAACTCCTGCCCATCCCCATCCAATGCCTTGGATCCTGGCGAAGCCCCAGCTTGCATACACGGCTATGAGAGTAGCAACCTTGTTGGACAAAGCAAAAGAGTTATAAATTTTAATAAAACTATAATCAATGCATAGAAGTGAAACTTTAAAAATATAAATGTAGTCACCAGCTGTGCTGCAATGAAGGCTCCAACAAGCAAGAGACCGGGGCGCTCAACAAAGGACCAGCTCCTTGACCTTGTCACAAAGATGAGTGCTTGACTGATGATACTCACTTGAAGGTAGAGAGCTGAAGTAAGCTCATCTATGTTATCATGGATTGGCCTCACGCCAAACTTCTCCTGCAAAAATGGAAAACGATATTAATTTTTATCATCTTTGATATAGTATAATTAATTTGGTTAATTTGTTGTCAGTGTGATTCACTCACAGTGAAGAAGTCAGTGTCATGAGCGAGCCAGAAAAAGAGCACGGTGATGATAGCCATGTAGGCCCCAAGGACAATCCCTGTGGCGAAGATTTCATTCAGCTTCCATGAGTCGGGCAGAGGAGATGGCTTGACCCTGTCTTTGGAGATAGTCATGATGGTTCCATCATTGAGGATGGCAATGATCAAGACCATGAATGGTGAGAAGTCAAACTTCCAGATGAGAGCAACAAGCATGAATCCCATCACAATACGAATTGTGATGGAAACAGCATAAATTGTGTAGTTCTTCATCCTCTGGAAGATGGCTCTGCTTGTCAACACTGCGCTCACAATAACACTCAATCCTGGCTCGGTTAAGACTATGTCTGAAGCGCTCCTGGCAGCATCAGTTGCATCAGCCACCGCAATACCAATATCTGCCTTCTTAAGTGCTGGGGCATCATTGACACCATCTCCTGTCATGCCACAGATGTGCTTGCGATCTTGGAGCCTTTTAACAATCTCGTACTTGTGCTCTGCATACAACAAGTTTATTTTCAGTAATTAAATAAACTACCTTCCTAACACATTTCATTGCTGTTTTTAGTAATTTGAGAACTTGAGATGATAATCCAATTACCAGGGAAGACTCCCGCAAATCCATCAGCCTTCTCAATGAGCTCATCAACAGGAATGGCGGCAATAGCCTCATCCTTACTCTGGCCAAGGAGGGAGGAAGAAGGATACATGTTAGTGCCCATGCCAAGTCGGCGACCAGTCTCTTTGCCAATGGCCAGCTGGTCACCAGTGATCATCTTAACATTAACGCCAAGGTCAAGGGCCCGTCGAATAGTCTCAGCACTGTCATGCCTTGGAGGATCAAAGAGAGGCAAAAGACCCACAAACTCCCAAGGTCCTCCAGCGCTCTCCTTTGTTTTCTCTGGAATTGTCTGTGAAAAGGCAGAAAAAATTGGTTAGAGAAGTGGTCAATCTTAATAGACACTCGTATAGAATCATGTATGCGCATATTAGATTTAGGGTCATCCACCTGTCTAGCAACTGCCAAGGAGCGAAGGCCACGGTCAGCAAAGTTGTCAATGACACCAAGCGCCTTCTTCCTCAACTCTCCAGTTAGCCCACAAAGGTCAATGATCTGGTACCAAATAACATTAAATTTTGGATTGAAAAGCCACACTTGTACAACCACTGATAGTTTAGACATCAGAAATGAACTATCACTGTGGTTCAATTGGTGTAGTATCTTACCTGCTCAGGAGCGCCCTTGCTGCAACGATGCCACTCACCATCACTGTCGATGTAGGTAATAGCAGTACGCTTATCCACAGGGTTAAAGGGAAAGAAGTGTAACTCAGTGATTCCAGCCCTTGCCTGTAGATTCATAAGAACAAAACATTAGTAACTTAATGCAATAGCTCCGCTATTTCAGCCTGTTTGAATGAAATAGGGGCTGTATCAGATACCTCTTTGGGGTCGCCCAACATCCCTACAATTGAAGCGTCAATGGCATCCTGGTTTTCAACCCTGGAAGCCCTTGCAGCAAGCAGCATAAGGGTGTCCTTGTCAATTCCACTTGCGAACACCTGGAGATATAAATATACTCATAAATAAAAACCAAGTTCATGCACGTGAAACCTTGTTAGAAAGATAGCAAAACTGCTAATAACCAACCTCAATGAGACTCTTGTCTACTGTTAGCTTGTTGAGGGTGAGGGTCCCGGTCTTATCACTGCACAGGACATCCATTCCTGCCATTTCTTCAATGGCAGTCATCCTCTTGGTGATGGCACCTTGCTCTGACAAGCGATGAGACCCAATAGCCATTGTCACAGACAAGACTGTAGGCATGGCGATCGGGATTCCTCCAATGAGAAGCACCAACAGGTTGTCAATACCATCTCTGTACCTCCTGTGCTGGATTGGGTACATCACTATGATCTCAATGAGCATTCCCACAGCAATCGAGCAGATACAGAAGTTACCAATGGCAGTCAACACCTGCACCATTAAGGAACATGAAGCAATGGGTTATTACATAATGTAAACATTATCAAATTGAGCCATCATAACGAAACAACCACATCGATAGTACCTTTTGGAAGTGACCAACATTGTTGGTGCTGTCAACAAGGTGAGCAGCCTTGCCAAAGAAGGTATGGACACCGGTGGCAATGACAACAGCCTCAATCTCACCTTGTTTGCAGGTGGATCCAGAGAAGACCTCATCACCTGGATTCTTGGTAACAGGTAGGGACTCACCAGTGAGGGCAGATTGATCAATCTTGAGTGCATCACCCTCCAAGAGACGAGCATCCGCTGGGATGATATCTCCCAATTTGACACTAATTACATCTCCTGGTACTAGAATTGCTGCATCTTGCTCATCCCATTTTCCATCTCTCAACACCTTCAAAAGTGAAACATGATGTTGATAGAACCAGGAAAAGAGAATCCCAAGAAGCAGTGAGACTCGTATAAAAACGAACAAACAAGAGTTACCTTGGTTTTGGGCGCAAGACCAGCCATCAAAGCAGCTGCCGCGTTGCCAGCGTTGTTTTCCTCAATGAAACTGATGGTTGAGTTGATAAAAAGCAAAGCAACAATACCAACGAAGTCTTGCCAGTCTGGAGGCTTGCCTCCTCCATTGGCCAAAACAATGGCCATGATAGCAGCAGCCTCCATCACCCACGACAGAGGATTCCACATGAAGCCCAAGAACTTGAGAAATTTGCTTTCTTTCTTCTCTTCAAGCTTGTTGGGGCCAAAGATTTCGAGCCTTTTCTCTCCTTCTGCTGTTGTCAAACCCTCTCTCGTACATTTCAGCTGCTCAAAAACCTCCTCCACGGGGATGCGCTCCTACATAAACACCATTTTATCCACATATTTAGAAACAAAAACCAACAGAAACCATACAAACGGAAGCTAACAGGAAAAAAACAATGGTTTCAAATGCTTACAAGGTCAACAGTCTCGTTCTTGATCTGCTCCAAAGAGGTGTCGCCATCGGAAGCCATGGCTACGGACAATCCAGAAAACAAAATAACAAACCAGGACCTTGTTTAAGAGAAGAAAGAAGAAAGCTCTTGATCACAGGAACTGATCTTTGAGTTCCTTCTTTCTTCAGGTTGTTGTGGTAGCTGCCCCTGGTCAGGCTTTCCCGTCCTCCATAACACTGGAGCGGTGCCGAGAGGAAAATGAGAATAGGAGATTAGTTGTTCTTGAAGGAGACAGCAGTCTTTGGCATGAAGTGTAATGGTTTTATAACCAACTTTTGAAAGAAAACGAGAGGAAGAAAGTAACGACATTGAATTCGGGCTGGTCCTATATTTGATCTGCGGCTAGCCAGAAGTCCCGGTCTTTTAGTTGCGGTTAACTGTTTTATTAGAGCATCTGACAGCCTTTTATATTACAGAACTTAACTGTCCGTAAAGAGCTTTGAATGAAGCTTTCTATGGTTTGTGTCGAAAACAAGTGTCACCCCACATTCTTCTTTTTCTACTGAAGGGTTGACATTTCATTTTTGGGCGTCAAAACATCAGCCAACCAAAACAAGCTGAAAAGGGGTAGCTGATGCTGGCATCAAATGGTAACGAAAGAGGAATTTTTGCAGAAATACAACCATTAACATAACGAAAAGGGTTGGATCATTGAAGTACCTTGTCCCTGTCTCTTGATAATCATATATCTTAGGAAATTGGGATATCTCAACATTAGCAGTCATTTTCTTTTGGCTACATGTTAAATTCTGTTAATCGCACTACGATGAATTGACAATAATCTAATGAGAAATAAGAAAAATCATGATTATTTCTTTAAAATCATTTGCTTCCAACAGGCCATTAGGCCATAAAGGACCATCTTCACATGACACAAATCCTTCATAGTCCACGGAAGCTGCTTAGCAAATGTAAAGATGCTCTCGTGAAAAGCGACACTACAACTAAGACAACAGGCAAAAGGGCTGACATGTAGCACAGAAGCAAAACTCAATGGGGAAGCTCTACGTCTTTTCTACCCCTCGTACGCAAATTACAAACACACTGACGTAGCATTTAAATGTGAAAATACGATTCTGAAGAATCTGCACAAATTTGATGCATGTGTATTTTATCAAAATGTCAAAACTCTAATGCAACGTAAGTACAGTCATGCATGTATATTATACCAAGGTATTACCTATCACACCCACAACCAACACCATCACAGAGTCCGTTCGTTTTGAAGGAAAAATTTTTTCGAAAAAGATAGTGGTGTTTGGATGACTGAAAATGAAATCCAAGAGAAAAATATTTTACGGAACACCCATGGGGAGTGTAAGCCAATTTTCAGAGAGGGCCAAAAAGGACTGTGTCCTTCGTGCTTCTCTACCGTCACACCCTCCTTCCTTCCTTCCACCTCCACCCTCGGCTTCCTCCATCAGCGCGATTTGCGCTTCCTCTGGCGGCAAATCTCTCCTCCATTAGCCAGATATGCTTTGCTCTCCTTCCTCCCTTGGATTTGAAAGAGCCCCTGATGGGACTTTTGTTGTTGCTTCTTTGATCCCCATATCTGCCCTCCTTCCCATCTGAAAATTTCAGATTGGTTTTTTATTGTTGGTACTGCATCTAGGATGTTTGATCGGCTGCCCCGTCTTGCCATGAGATTGTCTAGCATGACTTAGTTTTCTCACACCAGTCTTCTACCAAATCCAGATTATTAACAATGAGCTTGATGGAACTGTTCTTTATCCATCTTGGTTTAACAAATAATTGCATGGTTCAATGCCAAATAATTACAATGAATTTATCCTGAGATCAGGGGACTTGATCTTACTTTTATTTTTTAAATAGCATTTTTTCACAATTAAAAATATTTTTTATAATTTATTCAAACAACAAAAAAAAAATTTCTACCAAACAATTTTCTAGCAAACGGACTCTCAACTTCAAAACTTTTTCATTCAACACTCTATAAGTCTCCTCTATTCCTCTAAAACATCGAGTACTAACACACACTTGAACAAGTTCTCTGATCTTCAACTTAACAGCTATCAATCAACCATGACCAATTGCCTATCACACCCATCATGGAACCAAGAGCATTACTTGCAATGTCACTTATCTCCCTAGTTCCCATTGATTTCTTATATCTAAATTTTACAAACTCTCCATTCCCAATCCAATGCAAATAGCACCACTATATTCCTCTATTAATCCAGCTACCTAAAGTCACTCAACCAAAGTATTCATTTGCACAACTTACTTCTATGACCTTATTAACTGTGAACTTCCCTCTATTAATCCAGCTACCTAAAGTCACTCAACCAAAGTATTCATTTGCACAACTTACTTCTATGACCTTATTAACTGTGAACTTCCCTACTATTCCATTTCAAACTACCGAAATGCTCTCCTACTCTATAAATATACAAAGCAATTGCCCCTATCAAACAACCTTCATGACAATCTTAAATGGAAAAGCCAGTCATCTACTCTTCAAATCATAGTCCTCTTCCTATTCTGAACCAAACTCCTACTCTTCCTATTGTCTCTAATAGTCAAACTAACATACCTCACAAGTTTTTTCAATAACAGATGAGCAACACTGCTCTGAGGAAACTTAATGAATCATGTCACTCAAGGATACTGGCTTAAGCAATATCATTATTACCTAAAAATTTCAAGTTCATTAATGCAACATACGCCTTTACAGTGTTAACTTATTCTTAACAAGGCAACAAATCAGTTTCAAATAAACTCAACAAAGTCTCTCGAGCACATACAGATCATCCAGGTCAGAACAGCTTATCATATCAAGCTAATTTAAATCAACCAGCACAGGGAAATTCAACATTGGGCACTCAAATGAAGATAAAGATAATAAGGAACTAAAAACAGAATATAGAATCAAGTATTAGCTAAAACAAAGTCGAAACTACAACTTGAAGTATTGCCAACAATCTCATCAAAATATCCAATGAAAGAACCCCTCAGTAGCTCCCAATATTAAATGCCACGTCAAAAAGTCTGCGAATAAACTTGGAAAAACAAAAAAGAGAGCTTGAATCCAAATAAGCCCATCGAGCTTAAAACCCTAGCTTGGTGCGGCGCCAGTGCCTACGCTTCGCATTGTACCTGCAACCCAAAAACAAAAATTGAAAAGAACCCATCAATGCATGCTCTGAAAATACCTTAAAAATGAAATCAAAACAGAACCTAATGCAAATAATGAAGAAAACATGTTTGACCTGATGGTGTTGTCAGTGCGCATGCGGATCCAGTAAGGGATAGGCCTGTTCTGCCTCATTTTCTTGGCCAGCTTCTTCTTGATCATGAAAGTCTTGTGCGAAGGCTGCCATGTCAAATAAACCATTCAAAACATCAGAAAGGTATACCGTTTACAACTTTGCCCACATACAAACAGAGATAACCAACCATATTTGCACAAGGAAAATGAAGAAGCACTACAGCAATACAAAGCTTAAAACGACTAGCTCATACACTTATCCAAGGACTAAGATGAGGTAGAAGAGGAAGGAAGGAGGGAGATTACCATCTTTAGCGGTTGGGAGGGGATGCGGCGCTAGGGTCTTCAAGCTGCGGAGTGCGAGGCTCTGAAGACTGAAAGCGCTCGAACATAAATTTGTGCTGCGGGTGGGATTTTAGGGTTTTCCTTGTTGGGCCTTTTAGTGGACTTTGAATTTCGTTATATGGACTCTTGTCTGTGATTTTGGGCCCAAATCAAGCATTTTTTAAGGCCATATTTTTGGGCCTTCTCCAATATTTTTAACCTAGTATTTAAAACAATCTCAAAATAAGAACAAATTCCTCATAATCCTAACTTATTATGATTTCTATTGTAATTGATTAATTTTTAAAAAATCATACTTTCATCTTTTAACTTTGATTCAAATGCTAGTCGCATGTTCTAAAAAGATTGTTAGACCTATTATTAACTCTCTCTTTTTTAATATGTTTGAGATATTATTTATACAAACGAAAAATAACCTTCCCATTTCAAAAATGATAAATTTCATTTTGCTTGAATCGAAATTAATATTCAAAACCTTTAAATTAAAATCTCAATTTTTGCTCCTTGGAATCTACTAATACCTCTTTTTATCTTTACATAAAAATAAAACCAAAACATCTTTTAATCAAAAGATTGAAGACATTGTTTTTTTTAAATCAAAACATTGATAAAGTATTGTATTGGGATGACAGTAGGTATTTTATAATCAAATACTTTATGCTATCCAACTTAATTAAATATAATTAAGATATCTTATAATTGGAGTCCAAATAATAAAATTATCATCTGCCACTGATTCGGGTTAGGTTCAATTAATGGTCATAGGGTATCCAACACTCAAACCTAATTATAAATAATAATTTTCACTGTTAAATTTTAATTTTACATATTATATTTTTGTTTATAAATTACTTTAATTAATATAATACTTATTAAAATTTATTAATCATATTAAATTTTTAAATTTTTTTACCCACCAATTTTCATTTATTAATTTAATTTTTTATTAATAATATGCATAAAATAATTTCAAATTAATTTTTTATTGCTAATTTAACTTTAAATTCGTGTTAACTACAAATATTAGTAATCGGATTTAATACTATGGATTAGTTGATTTTGATGTAATGGATTTTTGACCCAATGGGCCTATGACAGTCCAAAAGAGATTCCACTACGGGTTAGAAAAATTTGGAGCCCATTCGTAATTGGTGATCCATCCAAATCGTAGCAGCTCACACGCCCGCCGAGCGCAGATGCTCGGGTCGAAGGACAACGCCTACCCCTAAATGAAACTGGCCTTGTAAGGAAGCTTCCGTCCGTGTAATATTCAGATAGTTTTTGCTTCTTCTTTTTTTTTTCAGTCTCTCTCATCTCCTATATATAAACACTATAAAAGCCAAAATCCCCACCAAACCAAACTCGTCTACTCTCTCTTTCTCTCTCTCTCTAATATTATTGGATCTAGGGTTCTGGGTTTTTCTAACTTAGTCTTTGGTCAGCAAATCGAGTGGCTGTGGTTGCTCCTCCGCAGTATCTCTTTTAACGAAATGCCTCCTCGCGCACCTAAGCGAAAGTCGGCCCCACCCAACTCCTTATGCGTCACATCATCCGACGGTAGCTCTGGTATCACCCCCCTTCTCCCCTCTTTATTTTCTGTTTCTTCTTTTTTGAAAAGAAAAAAAAGAAGAAGAATTTGTCTATGTTTGGTACGCGAGAAAGCGCGGGAAAAAAGATTAAAGAAAATAGAAGAATTTAAGTGAGAATCACAGTAACCGGATTGAGATATGGCTAGTTATGATGAAAGGTTCTTTACTGTCGTCGGCGTTGGTTTGTTTTCTTTTGTTCGAATGTTGAATGACGATTTATTCTATTCTGATCGGTTACTCAGAAACCGCGGGAAAAAGAGAATATGTTAAATTGAAAAATCGTACGGTAACCATATTTTTTAACGATCTTCGGTTAACTCTTTTGTCTTTATTTTTTTTTAGATTGCTTTTTTGGCAGCAAAGAAACGTCCTAGTCCAAGAAAAGAATCTGAAATGATTAATGACCTAACAAATCTGATTCGGCTCTTGTTTTCTTCTTTTCCTTGATTATTATCTTGGCATCATTGGGTTATTATTCATAGTTGCTGGGTTTTGTGGCTTGAATGTAATTGCAACTCATTACCACCTCTCCACTTAAATTTAGTTACATCCCCTTTAATGAATTTTTATTAAAATTGATGTTTATGGTTTAACCTTTTCACAGCAAGTTAGGGAAAGTGGTACTCTTTGTGTGCTTGGAGAATGTTACATCAAAGAGAAGGGTCTGATTGACATGGAGTTCTTAACATTAGACTTTAAGTTAGGTAAGGAGTAGGGAAGACAGGTTGAATCTTGGACCTGTTGAAAAGGACCTTGCTTTTGTTTAGGATAGTTCTAAATAGGACACAGTGACCTTGTAGGTTATATTGTCGGTAAAGTAGCATCCTGAGGATGTTGAGTCCTATAATATGGTAATCTTGGTAGAGAACCAATTGCCTGATGTTGGCGCCTGAAAACTATTGGAATCGGCATTTTGTATCATACTGCAATTTGAATTAAATGTTTGTTAAATAGATAAAATAATTATAATGCCTGTTACCCTCAGTTGATTAGGCTATAAGAGTTTCCAACCCCCCCAAATATGCTTGTTGTTATTCGACTAAACTTTTGTGGATTTTTTTTGGACTGTCTGGTATTCTAATTTGATAATGTTATTTCTTTTATCTTCTTTTTTCAGTCTCAAGTAAAGCTAAAACAAAAGGGTTTGTAAGAATAGATCGCATGTTCGATTCATATGCTAATAGTTCATTAGGCATGATTGAGTAAGTATATTCTGTCTACATTTTTTATATTTGTGGAGTTACTGAATAGTATTATGTTTCACACTAGCTATTGTCAATGGTGATTGGTGTCCTTTCAATCGAAATACTATAGAAGAAGAAGTTAAATAAATTCACTATATTTATCCAAATCATACTGATCATTTTCAAGGTCAAGGATATGTCTCAGCATTGATTCTTAAAGATGGTAGAATTCATCTCTTTTCTGTTTTAAAATGTGGAACATAATGCTGATGAAAAGCTCATGAACCTTCTTAAATTAGTGGTTTTGAACAAAATGTCTCAGCATTTTATTGTATCATATGTAGATTTAAATTTCATATCAATGTCCTTATTGAAAAGTGCTTCCATTAAGAACAACTTTCAGTTAAGGATTTTTTTAGCTGCATTTCCATTGGGTGAAAAAGTGATGAGTTCCCTCAAAAAACACAAAAGAGCTACAATTTTTTCCTTATCTATTTGATCTGTATAAGTTAACATAAGCCCCATTGGACGTGCAAGAGAGATTTTCTTTATAGGATTGCATGCATATCCTTTTCTAATACTCTTTGTTTGCTTGACCAGTCCAGATGGTATTGAAGCACTCTGTTCAGATCTAGGAGTGGACTGCACTGATGTGAGGATCCTGATGCTTGCTTGGTATAGTATATTCTGTGGATATATTACTGGAGCCATACTTTGGTCTGGGTTTCTTCTAACATCATGTGCTCTGCATATCTCAGGAAATTAAAAGCTCAAAAGCAGGGCTATTTTACCTGGGTAAGCAGAAGCACTACTTATATGATGTCCGCATTTGATAGATAACACAGTAGAAGAAGTGAACAGTGGTAGATGAATGACCACTTTATTTCTTCTCTTGCACTGAATCAGGATGAGTGGCGAACTGGCCTGAAAGAGTTGAGGGTTGATTCAATTAGCAAACTAAAAAAAGCACTTCCTGAACTGGAGAAGGAGGTACTTGTATCTGTTTGAACAATTATTGCAATCATTGGATAGTCATTTTCCGGTTGACAAGAAGCAATTGAGTGGTAGTACTAATTTTATCTTTTCTATATCTGGAAAAAAGGTGGGGAAGCCATCAAATTATGACAATTTCTATTCCTATGCATTTCGATACTGCCTGACAGGTTTGTCCTTTAATTGAATAAAATCAGCCCTTTTTTTTCACCATTCCTGGCTTTTCTTTTCTTGGAATTTGTTTTTGTTTTCTAATATAAAGCTGACATTGATCAATTGTCTCAGAGGAGATGCAAAAGAGTGTGGACATTGAAAGCATCTGTGAATTGTTGAATCTTGTTCTAGGGCCCCAATTTCGTCCTCAGGTTGATTTACTAATTGAGTATCTAAAGGTAGGTAGCCAATTTTGTTTATGATGCTGTTATTCTTTAATCTTTAGCAAAAGAAATGCTGATAAGATGCACTGTTTATAATCAGAATTTATGTTCCATGACATGTTTTGTGATGCTTGCACATGATTTTCTGGCAGGTCCAGAGTGATTACAAAGTAATAAATTTGGACCAGTGGATAAATTTTCTACGTTTTTGCCAGGAGGTGAGCCTTTTGAAAAAAAAAATGGTAAAATTTGTTACTGTTAGTTTCCTTGAAAACTCTTTAGCATGAATTGTTTCTTTCCCTTTGCATTGAAATTTAGTGTCAGTTGCCAAAAGGAAGAAAGAGGTAAAGCAAAGAAAATAAGAAATGGCATCCAAAGGGATCAAAAATGCATCCTAGATTCATTTGGTGATGGTTGACGAATGTGCTTTTATTTTATATTGCATTGATAAAACTGAACTATGTATGATTTTTGATGAAAAAGTATTAGTTTGCCTTTGTTTTTTCCCTCAAGCAACCTAAGGCATCAATAATAATTTGAATCCTTGCCAGCAGATCAGTTTTCCAGATCTTGAAAATTATGATGCAACCCAAGCTTGGCCCTTGATCCTCGATAATTTTGTTGACTGGATGAGAGAAAAGCATAGCTCGCTTTAGCATCATTTGTGTGTCTCACTGATAGCTGATTTCATAAGGTAAATGATCTCTCTCTCTCTCTCTCTCTCTTTCTGTCTATCTATCTATGTGGATTTCTCCAATTTTAATTCTCTTGAAAGTAGTTAAAGAAAGATCAAATTCGTTTTATTCATCTGTCTGCAGGACCTTGTGGAAACCCTAACCAGTAACCATGGAGCTGGCTCGTATCATAACCGATTGAACTGAATTTACCGGACCTTTTCTCAGGTTAAAACTACAATTTTTTTGTCCGGAGATGGGTTACACATTCTGCATTCATTTTACCTATCTTAAGCCAAAAAAATTCGTGTTACTCTTATCCAAATGAAGGATAATTCTATAAATATAGCGTTAAAGCATCATCTGTACAGTTTGATTCTGGATTGTGATGTTAATTATCTACTCATCCGCAAAACCATTAGTAAGAGCTTCTGCTTTAGTTAAATCCAGTGGCTTGAGTGCAGCGACGATTTCCTAGCTTAGCATATCAGCAAGGTGGTGGCCTATTTCCAGTAATATTTGTGAAGCTAATAGAACTTATAAAAGAAAATACAAAGGTGTCTTTCTCCGAAGGCCAGTTTACTCTTGATGGTTTCGAGAACGTAACTATCCAAACTACCAAGACCATACAAAAGAGCTGGCCGAAATGAGGACTTAAAACATCAAATTTAACCGTTAGCGGTCGTGAGTCCCTGTACAGTCCAAGCCACAATCCTTGCCACCTCTAATTCAGGACTTCCTTGGCAAGTCAATGCCACTATGAGGCCTAAGCTACCAAAAGTATCAATGAATTTACACCAAAATCACATTTGAATCCATAGCTTTTTAGGAAAACAATCGTTGGTTGCATCAATGCTATCCAAGTTTAATTAGCGGAATGCTGTGGGTTTGTTCATGGATCCATGTATCGAGACCCTGGGGCAAAATCCAACCTGCACCAATATAGCGTGCAAACAAAGAAGCAATTCACTAAAATTTGAGCCTGGGTTTGCCTTTGTTCAATGCATTATGCTTTACGCAAATGACAAAGATGACTCTCAAATCTCAAACTCCTGATGGTCGAGCTTATTACGTCAGTTCATGGAGTGATGTACTAATGTTGGACCGTTGGAAGGGTCGCATTTGTTTCTTTCATATGACCAAAATGAGCTGTTCGCAGCTGGTTTTCTGAATTTCTGCTTGTCAACGAGTATTTTTCTGTTTGTGACTCTATTTCGTATCCATGTGAATGGGTTTATTGATTCATCCAAACTATAAAATACTTAAGAATGAACGCTATAGAGAAATTGAACTTGTTACCAAGTTACTCCTCTATTGAGGAGCTAAAGAAACAAAGAAAGATATTAACAAAACAAAATTGGATTGGAAAGTAGCTTTTGGACGAAGGGAAGAAGGAAAAAAGCTTGATGCTATTGAAACTTGCTTAACCTTCGTTACCGATTAAGTACTCCATCATTAAGGAAAAGCTTCGCTGCCCAATGCCTCGTCCAGAATAACAGTTACTACAATATTTTTGACGTTTTCAAACATGATCTTTTAATTAACAAGAAAGCTGGCCGATGGCAAACTTAGGAAACAACGTGAGGATTCACAAGAATTTAAGTTTTTGCCCGACATATCCAAACAGAAAACTCCAGACACAACAAATCGAGTAAATCGATGAAACCATAGCTTAGTTATACTACTGCCACATGCTCTATATACAACAGCATATACTCCATGGGTTCTGACAACTGGAAAAAAAGTCATTAAATTTCAAGTACGTAAGATCGTCACAATATCCTAACCCATGGCCAAGCAAAAAATGGCATCGTTCGTCTTGGCTATTGTCTTAATCCTTGGTGCGAATATCTCATTCTCTGCTGCTTCATTTCCTACTTTGTTGACTCGTAATTTCTGGCAGAATTCTAGACCAACGAAACTGATTGGGTGGCCACCGGGGGATGACCCTGAAGATATTTCCCCGTCTCCATCACCCCAACCGGCTCCTACTCCTCCACCCTTTTCTGATGATGGAATTAAAGGTGGCTATTGGCCTTCATGGCTAGCTTATAGTTTCCCTCCCTCCTCAATCCCTACCTTGTACTTCACACATGTGTTTTATGCCTTTGTTGGCATTGATGCCTCTACTTACAACTTGTCCATTACTCAACCTGATGATGAATGGATGGGAAACTTTACAGCTACCCTTCATGCCAAAAAGCCCCCAGCAAAAGCCCTGTTATCCATAGGAGGAGCGAATTCAGGCCCTGGTGCTTTCTCCGGCATGGCTAGTGACCCTGATAATCGTGCTGCCTTTATCAAATCTACTATTGCTACAGCCAGAAAATATGGTTTTGATGGCCTTGACATTGATTGGGAATTTCCTAGTAATCCAGATGACATGTCAAACCTCTCAGTGCTGTTTAAAGAGTGGCGTCAGGCTGTTAAGAGTGAGGCTTCAGACTCGGGCAAGCCCCGCCTTCTTTTAAGCGCTGCTGTTTATTTTGCTTCCAGCTTTTTATTTGATCTGCCTAGGACATACCCTGGTGATGCCATTGCAAAATATGTTGATTTTGTGAATCCTATGTGCTTTGATTATCATGGAAGTTGGGACACTTCCGTCACCGGTGAACATGCTTTGCTGTACGACAAATCCAGCAATATTAGCACAAGCTATGGTATATCATCCTGGATTGAGATTGGGGTCCCTCCAAAGAAGCTGGTTATGGGCATGCCACTTTATGGAAGAACATGGGAATTGGAGGACCCAAAAAAACATAACATTGGAGATCCGGCTACTGGGGTTGGGCCTGGAGATAATGGCATACTGTTGTACAAGGACATTGTAACCTACAATGCTGACCATCATGCTTATGTTGTGTATGACGGGGACACCGTATCAGAATATTCATATTCAGGAACCGATTGGATTGGTTATGATGGGCCAACATCAGTTGCAAAGAAGGTTGAGTATGCTAAAGCTCATAACCTTGGTGGTTATTTCTTCTGGGCCCTTGGATATGACATGAACTGGACTCTTTCAGCAACAGGTAGGTTCTCAACAAAAGGCATAATATTTGAATATAAACTTGATCATTGGGATGATAGAGCTTGAACCTTCGACTAATTCCCAGAATCTCAGCTTAACCTTTCATTGCTAGATCATCATTCAAAGCATATTGGCCTAGACTAACATTTTTCATTCAAGTTAACGTTAGAGAAACAGAGAATCCAATGATCAATACTGCAAAACATATTAAGGGTAGTTAAATAGGTTTGTTGCTTACACACTTCCAGGTCTTTTATGATTTATGTGTTTGCCTGGCAGCATCAAATGCATGGGAAGGAATATACTAGCAGCTTGTGAAGTCAGAATTCGGATGAAGTC